GGCGGAGCTGACTGGTTCCTGCTCTCAGAATCTAGTGGAGAAAAGTCAGACAGGTCAATTCCTCAAACTTTAATGTATATGTCAGTCAGAGCCTCAGTGTGCTCATCTGTAAAATGGGTATAAGATGATACTATCTGCCCTACTATCTTTTTTTCTTTTTTCTTTTTTTAGTATATTTTTTATTGATTTCAACGAGGAAGAGAAAGGGAGAGAAAGATAGAAACATCAATGATGAGAGAGAAGCATTGATGGGCTGCCTCCTGCATGCCCTCAGCGGGGATCGAGCCCACAACCCAGGCATATGCCCTTGTCCGGAAACAAACCTGGGTCCCTTCAGTCTGCAGGCCAACGCTCTATCCACTGAGCCAAACTGGGTAGGGCTTAATCTCCAAACAAGAACGTGATGCTCTGTAGGCTGCTACACAAACTGGTCATCTTGCAGGGGGCAGAGGGTGGGTGGGATGAAGGGGTGACAGAGACCTAGTGGCCTGAGCACAGGTGCGGGAGGAAGAGCAGGAGTTGGCTGGAATTGCAGGGCCAGGCCTCACCCATCTGCTCTTTCTGTCTCGCTCCCACCGCAGCGTTCCTTCTGCAGCACGGTGGCCGACGAGATCCGTTTCGCCCTCACCTGCCAACGTCGGGTCAAGCACAAGCCCCAGCCTCCCATGATGGTCAAGACTGATGCCGTCATCAACATGCACACGTTCAATGACCGCCGGCTTCCGGGCAAGGACAGCATGACCTGCAGCACATCACTGGCCCCCGTTTTCCCCTGAGCACCGGTAGGGTGGGGACCGCAGGCCTGGGGGCAGGGTGGAGGAAAGCAAAGGAGACTGGAAGGCACGTCCCTGTCCCCACACTGGGCTTGGGGACCAGAGCTGCTGCCTGCCTATGGGGCCAAGAGCCCTCTGCCCTCACCTACTGGGAAACCAGCAGGCCCCCAGGCCAGCTGCTTGAGCTTCATCTCGTCTTGTTTCTTCTGTGGGTTTCTAAAGCTGCCAGCCGAGACAGCCAAGGCCAAAGGAAGCACATGCCTCTCTCAGGCCACGCTCACCTGCGCCTCCACCTTCCTCCACAGTCACAAGTTTCTGCCACGGCCCTGCAGGGGCCAGAGAAAATAGCTCTTTTATTGCCACTCCTTCCCCATCAGCCCAGTTCTCCTGGGGCTTGACTATGAGACCAGAGACACACACCCTGGACATGGCAGGGGTGTTCTCATTTGGCTGACAGTGGGACAGTGGGAGCTACAGACAGAGGATGGCCATCCGCATGCCTGGGCAGAGGGAAGACCTCATCCCCCCGGGGGCTGCTCACAGGCTTCTGAATTCCTGGATTTGGCACCAACCATGGTAGCCCCTGTTTGGGCAAAGTTGAACGCAGAGAGCCCCATAGGGGAAAAGAGGAGTTTGGGGTCTGGGAGAGGCTGCCATTTTGAATTCTACGGTCAATGTCTAATGGTCACACTTCTTTAGGAGAGAGGGGGAAGAGTCGAAGCAAACTCTTCTCCACTTTCTGGCCAGAGGAGAGACAACCCCCTGAAACTCTCAAAAAAGACACCCAGAGACTCAGCCAACATTTGAGGCCCAGAGGAACAGTGGGTTCCATGGAAATCCCATAGGCCTTCACGTCATGGGATCTTATTTTGCTGGTTACCAAGCTGCTTTTCAGACCCTGATGGCATGAGGGAGCTTGGGCTGTTTGCCGTCCACTCATCAGCAACTCCCCATTGCTGGCCGGTTGGCCTTAAGATCCTTCGTCATCCTGGGAGAAGAGTAGCCTAGATCAAAGTGAAAGTCGATTCACCCTTCCTCAAAAGAGGGGCCCAGGTCCCAGGCACAGGCTAACTTTGTGGTAGATGGGAAAACTAGAAGGGCCCTAAAGAACTCCCGGCCTCCTGGTCTTGCCAAACCTAAAGATACCCCCCAAAAAATGAAGTTTTAGGGGGCAGGATATCATGGCTGGTAGAGGCTCTAAAGGTGGGAAGATAGAAGCTGCCTCTTGGAGAATTAACCAAAGACCCCAAACAAAGACACAAGGTCATCCTGGAGCCTGGTCTCTTGTCCAGAGCAGCTGGGACCTTGTAGGGCTTGGGGACTCGGCAGAGGAGTAGTAGCAGGCGGGGTACCAGTGAGGGGTAGACCAGATGGCCTGTAGGTTCCAGCCAGCTGTGATGTATGTTCTAGAGGTCTGTGACTTCAAGCGTCTGGGGAAAGAATGCGACATGGAAGGTTTAGGAGCAAAGTGTCCTTAAAGAGAACCTGATAGGGCCAGTAGGGCTTCCCACCGCCAAGGGCAAAGGGCATTCTCCCAGCAGGGGATGAGGACTGAATCTGGACGGGGACCCAGAGGCACCAGCCACCCGCTCCCACCTCTCTCCTGTTTCTGCTTGAGGAGCCTGGTTAGGGAGGAGCTACATTTAGGTCTCAAGGACCTTCTCAGCTGGGGGAAAGGGTAAGCTCTAGCTCCCCCAGGGACTTCCAAAGCAGCAGAGCACAGTGGGCTCATGTGACAAGTACTGCCCCTCCTACAAATCAGAGCCGCTCCAGCAGGCTGTGTGCACGGGAGGTAGAAGAGGCCGGACATGCAATGTAGCCAACACATGTAACAATAGGAAAAGCCATGCTGTCATGAGCTCCTGGGTGCAAGAGTATGTGGTGCATATATGTGTATCTGTGTCTTTGTATGTGTGAGTTTTGGGGGCTGGGGGAGAAGGACAGATTTGGACATATATAGAGTCCAGGGCATGCAATAATAGGGAATCCTTTGGGTTCTGGTGTGTGTGTGTGTGTGTGTACACACGTGTCATGTGTGTGAATTGAGAATGAAGGAGACAATTCTGGACAAGCAGCAGAGCTCCATACATGTAAAAATAGGAGAAGCCATGTCATAATGAGGTGCTGGTGAATATATATATATATACACACACACACAATTGTGTGTGTATCTGCATGTGCATTTGTGCACCAATGGCAGAGGATAGAAGACAGAATAAAACCTGCAGCATTGCCAAATATGTCTTAAAGGAGAAGCCATGTCATCAAGGGATCCACATGTGAGCATGTGTGCACAAGTGTGTGTGGGCTCATGTGTGCAGCAGAGTGGGAGAGAGGACAGAACCAGACAGACATGCAGCAAGGTTCATGCATGTCATGTGTGAGAAGCCCTGAGGAACTGGAGTTTGTGAGTGTGTGTATGCTCACATGCGTGTTCAAGCACACACATGTTACAGCTCACTACAGGAGCAGAGATGGACAATCAGGAAGGCAGAGAACCAGGGTCTGTTGGCACTTCTGTAGTGAGGAGAGATCTTTTGTCACAAGATTTGCAAGTCTGTCTAGGCATAGGCACAGGGAGACTGTCAGGCATGGGCACAGGGAGACTGTCAGGCATGGGCACGGGGAGACTGTCAGGCACGGGCACGAGGAGACTGTCAGGCATGGGCACAGGGAGACTGTCAGGCATGGGCACAGGGAGACTGTCAGGCATGGGCACAGGGAGACTGTCAGGCATGGGCACAGGGAGACTGTCAGGCATGGGCACAGGGAGACTGTCAGGCATGGGCACAGGGAGACTGTCAGGCATGGGCACAGGGAGACTGTCAGGCATGGGCACAGGGAGACTGTCAGGCATGGGCACAGGGAGACTGTCAGGCATGGGCACAGGGAGACTGTCAGGCATGGGCACAGGGAGACTGTCAGGCATGGGCACAGGGAGACTGTCAGGCATGGGCACAGGGAGACTGTCAGGCATGGGCACAGGGAGACTGTCAGGCATGGGCACAGGGAGACTGTCAGGCATGGGCACAGGGAGACTGTCAGGCATGGGCACAGGGAGACTGTCAGGCATGGGCACAGGGAGACTGTCAGGCATGGGCACAGGGAGACTGTCAGGCATGGGCACAGGGAGACTGTCAGGCATGGGCACAGGGAGACTGTCAGGCACGGGCACAGGGAGACTGTCAGGCATGGGCACAGGGAGACTGTCAGGCACAGGGAGACTGTCAGGCATGAGCACAGGGAGACTGTCAGGCATAGGCACAAGTCGGGGCAAAGCACTTAGGAGCTTGTGGCTGGTGACTTCGTTGCTCCAGGCAGAGTGCACTGTTTGAAGGGGAAAATGCCATATATTTGCAATTTCCAGGTGACAGGATTCTAATGAATGCATTTGCCCATTTGTTCTCACCAACCACAGATACTAACCACTGTCCTTCTTCATCCAGTACCATTTCTTGGCACACACCCACATCCATGCTCATATCACACACACATGTGTGTGCTATTGTGTATAACACTCCATGGACATGTCATGTTTTTCTGAGGCTCTGCATATAGACAGACTGATGAGAGAAAGAAAAGGAAGGGCATGAGTAGAAAGACTTTTCATCAAATGAGTGAAGAATGGTGGATCGCAGAGGTACTATTCAGTGAGGGAAGTCCCCCAAGATACTGAAATGATTTGGGGGCTCCAAAACAGAAATGGGATGACATGCTGCGTGATCTTTCTCCACATTCCAGCTTCTGTCCATATATGTGGCTCATGTTCAATGTCTAGCTGATGTCCTATGTTTGTCTTCAAGACCAGCCCAGGGTTCCAAGTGCAGTGGAAACCACTTCTGCCCAAGTGTGAGCTGTGTCTCTTGAGGACTCCAGGTTCCACTACGTCTGGAGGAGTGGGGTGGGAGAAGGTCTTCCCAGCAAGGGGGATCCTGTGGAACTCAAGTTTAGGCCGGCCTGCCAGTGGGGTGGACTGAGCCACAGCGGGTGCACATGGGCACATGCATAGAGGTGCTGGTGTGGGGGGCTGGGAGAGATGGGGAGTGTAAATGCTGATTTAGATGGAGCAGAAGGTGGGACTTGCCTGAGCAGGTTCTAGACTGTGCCTGCCTGGCCCCACATGCTGGCCCTAAAAAGAAGAGTGCCCCACCTTCCACCCCTATCCCCAACCTCACACCAGTGCCTCCTCTCAACCTGCTCTAAGTGGCCAAACTAAGGGCAGCAGTGAGGGGACACACACAATAAGCCCTCCTTATCTCTCTCTCCCCCTGACCTGTCACTGGTCTTTGCTGGGACATAGCTCAGACCCCCATCACAGCCTAAACTCCACCTGGCTCATGCTGGCTCCCTCCTGGGCAGAGGAAGGGGTCTCTAGCACCATTAGGTGAAGACTCCAACTGGCTAGAAGTCACTCCCCCTCTCTAAGCTCTCACAGGGCGGAAGTCAGAACAGGACAGTCAGAAGTCCCCCCTGCCTTCTTTTCCAGGGGGTGCTATGTGTGGGTCTGCTGCTGCTTCTCACCACTCAGCATGAAGCAGATCCCTCCCCGAGCCACCCCAGCTATACACACAAACATCTGGAAACAGGCCAGACTCTGGCCCCCATCTGGAATGGTCTTGTGTGGAGCACCATCTGGGAAGGACCTAGCTCTGGTCAAACAGCTGTATGGACTTAACATCTGGGACTGGCCCAGCCCCCTAGACAGATGCAGAAAATGAGCCCAATCTTGTAGACAGGTCTCCAGAATAGACACATCTGGAACAGTTTCCCAAGGGGGGTGGACACATCTGGAATGGGCCCAGCCGTGTGGCATGGTGGAAGGGTCCTGTCCTCTGTCCCCATGCCGGTTTGAATCAAGCCTTCATTCCAGTCCAGCTTTTGCCCTGGAGTTAAAATTTCAGAGCTGAGGCCATATGTGACGTCACAAAACTGTTTTTGGTAGAAGGTGAATGTTCTGTACAATATATATATGAATGTAAAAAGATATATATATGCTGTATATATATGTGTGTATATATATATATGCACAGTGTATATATGACCTGTAGCCCATGTGTATATGCACTCCTCCCTGCACGTCTGCACACAGAGTGTACATAACCCAGCCAGTATGGGTGGGACCAGGTGAGAGATGGGGGCTACAGCAGCAAAGTCTGGGACAGAGGCACCCTGGGCCAGGGATGCAGAGAGCCTGGTGGGGGTGGAGCAAGCCCTGAGGCAGACCCTGAGGAAGAGGGGGAACCCTGGAGGCTGGAGGATGGACCCTTGCATAGCAGGTGCCTCCTTGGGAGGAACGGGTGGGGGAGGAGCCTTGTCTCCCTCCGAGTGTCAGAAGCAGAACAGCAGGGCCTGTGACGTGGGAGCGATGTCACGCCAGTACCGGGCTCCCGAGACCTGCTCTAATGCCTGTCTGCACAATTGGCAGGCAGATGTCAGGTTCCACCTGGAACATCCTCAGAGGCCTCTGTCGCCCACTCTCACCCGCACACCAGGCACAGCTTGTGGCTAGGGAAACGCTTTTTAAAGAGAATGGCCAGCATGCCAGTATGGTGTCCCGATGCCCTCGTGATTGACCTGCCCCCGTTCCCTGCTTTCTAGGACGGACCTCAAGTCACCCCGCAGTGTGTCTCTACTTTACAGATCAAAGCTCTGAGGCCTCTGGTGCGGGGAAGCAGCTGTAGGCCCAGTGAGTGACCCCAGTTAAGAGTGTGTCCCACCTCAGATAACCTCCCAGCTCCATTTGACCCAGAGGCCAGCTTCAGGGAGAGACTGGGGAGCTGGAGATGTGAGCAGAGATGTGAGCAGGACAGTGACATGGGCAAAAAATGAGAAACCAACAAGGCACTTCCTGTCCCATCAGGGCCCACGCCAACTGTCTGCCTTCTCTCCCCTGCAGCACCACCCCCAGCAGGGCGGTTGGCAGAGAGCCCCTGGAAGAAGATGCAGACCTCCACCCCTGCCCCTCGCACATCTGTCTGTTCTTTGCAATTCTGATCCCTTAGCTAGTGGTCCTGCCCTGTCACGGCCAGAGCATCTCTGGAGCATGCAGGCGAGAGAGATCGGAGTGGGCTTCTGTGTGGCCAGTGGCCTGCCCTCTGCTTCGGCCCCATGGGTCAGGCTGGTCTGCACTTAACTCTGGGTCTGCCCAGGGGTCCTGGACAGAGCACATCTGCACCCAGCCCCCTGAGGAAGGGCCTGTCACTGTGCTCCAAACCCCCTCCCCATCTCTGCCTGGCTGGGCCTCCCATGATGGGGACTTGGGTTCCCGGCCCCTGGGCTGAGCCCCCAGCCAGCACCATGCAAGACCCCTGGCCCGTCCCAGCACCCAGACCGGAGTGCCTGGACGCCCCCGCTCCCACACAACATGGTTCCCACACACTGGTCTCTGGGCCATTCAGGGGATGCCCTTTGTGGACATGCAGAATTTCTATGAATATAGTTTTTTGTAAACATTTTGTAACAATTTGGGTTTCATAGTAACTGTGTTACTTGCCAATCATTCTAGGCTAATGTAAATAAATTTCCAAACAAATCCGATTATTTTCCTTTTTAAGACACTGTGATATATCAAAGTGCACAGTTTGCTGTATGAAGTAATATGGTTTTAAATTTTAAATAAAGAAATGTTTCTAGAAAATGGGGCCCCCTTGAGGTGTGTTTTCTGCTTCTCTTCCCTCCCTAGAACCAGAGGGTGCTGGGGCAGTGGAGTCACTGTGCCCTCTTCACCCAGGGCTGACTGTGCCCCGGGCCAGAAACCCTGGTGAGGAGCAGGTGGGGGTGGCTCCAGCCCAGGCTCCTGGCTCCCAGTCAGATCTGGAGGGTGTCGTGTCTGTCCTTGACCTTGTCTGACCTCTGCCTTCCCTTCTCATGGGCGTGTCCCTCCCCAACTCATCTCCAGCCACATCGTTTCCTGGGGCGTTGCCATGTCCTTATGTGACCCTGTCCCCGTGGCCACCGGTGGGGAGGCTGGGTCGGCCTCTATCTGAGCTTGGTTCATCAGAGGTCCTGCCTGAGTTTTGTCAAACTGGAAACGAGAAAACCATAAGTCAACTACCCCTGGAAGATGGAAACTGTACATATAAGAAAGGTACAGGGAGGACATTTAAAAAATTTTAATATATTTTTATTGATTTCACAGAAGGAGGGAGAGGGAGAGATAGAAACATCCATGATGAGAGAGAATCATTGATCGGCTGCCTCCTGCACACCCCACCCTGGGGATCGAGCCCACGACCCAAGCATGTACCCTAAGCAGGAATCGAACCGAGACCTCCTGGTTCATAGGTCGACTCTCAACCACTGAGCCATGCCAGCTGGGCTAGGCCAGGGCATTTTAAGCATGATGGGATTGAACATGGATGCTTACAAAATCAATGAAGAGATGAAGACAAGGCCACGCTGGGCCTCCAGGGGCCACAGAGCCGCACAGAACTGACCCGCAGCAGCGGTCCCCTCTGAGCCTGGTACTAGAACTGTGAGGTGAAAACCCAGCCAGAGCTGCAGTCCAGGGCTCCAGAAGCCTGGCCCGGGAGCCTGCTGCCACCACTGCCCCAGCACAGCTGCTTCTCATCACCGGGAAGCTGGCGATGGATACGGGAGTGACGCTCCATGACAGAAACAGACCCAAGGGGGCAGGAAGATGGCCTCTGCCTCGCTTCTGCCTTCCAAACTCGTGCAGACAGATGTAATTGGTAAGACTAATTTGCATCCAGAACCCCCCACGCTCCCTTATGACATCATCACTAAATCACAGCTAAATTGAGCATTTCCTAGGTGACAAGTGCTATGCTAAGTTTTCGACACATTTTATATCCTTTCACAGTTGTCTCCGACCCTGACTCTACAGGACCTTTCAGTCCACATGCACCACTTCTAATTGCCCGCAGAGTGACTATGATTAGAGCTTGGGTCAGTCGGTCGCCTGTGGTTCAATCAGCTGTGACCAGAGTGAGTGAAAAGCCACATAATAAATCATGGTACCCGGGTTCTTTGCTTCAGAAGGGTTGAGAAAACCGGAAAGTTCCGTAGAAAGGTATGTGGGCTGGGAAGATTTTCTACACGATGTACCCTCCTTTCCCATCGGCTGACAAGGGCCAGGTAAGCCAAGCCCAGGCCTCAGAAACCCCTGCACAATGGAGAGGAGTTCAGGACCCAGCGGCTACCGTGTCTGGAAACTCTGGTCCAGCCTGGAGCCACAGCCCAGACAGAGGCTTTGGGTCCAGGCCAGGTGAGAGGCAGGGAGGGGTCCTGGGTTGAAAGCACCTGTCAGCCTCTGAGAGGCAGAGGGAAGGTCCTTTCCTTAGGGTGAACACAGTGGGGTTCCGGGTGGACTCCAAGACCAGCCCACAGGAGCGGGGTTATATGGACAAGAGAAAAGGAAGAGACCCAGTAGGAATGAGGTCCACAGTGGGGGTGAAGAAACAGAATAGCCACTCACCCATCTATCTATCCCTCCGTCCATCCATCCTTTAGTCCACCCATTCATGCATCCATCCATCAAATCACCCACCTGTCTACCTACGTATGTCTTCCCATCCACCTGATTCATCAACCAGTTCATCTATTTATCCATCTACCTGTCTATCCACCCTCAATCCACCCACCCATCCATCCATCCATCCATCCATCCATCCATCCATCCTTTCAGAGAGTTAAACAAATATTTTGTGTATGAGTCCCAGCTCTGCCACCTACTAGATGTATAACTTTGAAAAGCAACTTCACATCCCTAAGGCTCAATTTCCTCATATATAAAATGCATGATCCTAAACCCCCTCCATCACTTCTTGTAGAATGGTTGTGTGGGTTACACGAGAAAAAGGCGTGTTAAGTACTTAGCACAGGGCTGGGTGTATCATAAGCCAACAATAAGTGATAGTAATTTTTATTTTATTTTTTTTTATTCTTTTCTAAAAAATATTATAATAAGTATTACAAAGGGTATTACATATGTGTCCTTCCCCCCCAAGTGATAGTAATTTTTATTAAGAAAACGGAGAAGGAGGAGAAGGAGAATTAGGACCTCCTATATGCTGAGCCCTCTGAGAATAGAGTAGTGAGCAATGAAGCAAGACTCCTCCCCCAGGGCTCGGAGCCTTGGCCCAGAACCCCATCTGTGACACTCAGGGCTCAGCCAAGCCTCTCAGGATACTGGGGTGGCCCTGAATATCTCTGGGTTGGGCAGAGAAAGAAAGAAACTTCCTTGGCCCCCCAGCCTCTCTGAGGAGCCCCTGACTCTACCTCTCAGAGCCCATCTCCACCTGGGTGGCCCTCACAGACACTGAGCTCTCTCTCTCCCCAAGGAAGAAAATGGAACCCACTTTACCAGGCACTTAGCATCAGGCAAGCGTCACTGTGAGCACTCTCTACCCACTTCCCAGGGACTAAACACGGATCCTCTGAAGCAGGCACGGTTACATCCCATTTTACAGCGAAGGAAGCAGAAGATCAGAGAAGTAAATGGACTTGCCCATTTTGACTGCCAAGGGAGCTCATGTGAGAAGGAGAGAGAAAGCTTGCCATGAAAGCATATGTTAAGTGTGAAGCATCAGGCTTACTATTTGTGAGGGTCCCTCTGCGCTTGTCTGTCAGTTTCCCCTTCTTCCGCCTCCCCCGCCCCCCCAGGTCCACCTGCAGTGAGCCAGGAGCAAGAGCAGGTCAGGGCCCCGGAATTCTGGGGATGCGGGTCCCCATTCCGAGAATCAGGCGGGGCCAGGGCACGCGCTCCCCCGGGGCCTTGATGGCACTTCCTTGGAAACAGAAGCTGAGTGTTTAAGAAGCATCTGTCATTATGGAAACAGAGTTGCCAGACCATTTTTTCCTTTACTATTTTTACTGCGATTTCATTATCTTATGCAAATGAGGCCGCAGAAGAAGTCTTTCTGCAGGGTGGCCCATGCTGGGACCAGCCCCATCCAGGGATTTATTGCTGCCTCGGCCTCCAGACAGCTCAGGGATGAAGAGGCCCCATGGAGAGGGTTTCCAGAGCAGCCGCCCTGCCCTGGAACACGCTGCTTCCTGCCAGGCAAGCCCCCAGATCCTCCCTGTGTCCCAAGAGAGCCCTGGTCCCTTATTTCCAAAGATCTAAGTATCGGCTCAGCCTGGCTCAGGCTCTGTCCCCAATTCCTCAGTAGTTGGGGCCCCTTGAAGACTGAGCTGCCAGTACCCAGAGGACAGAGGAGGAAAGACGGGAAGCAACAGGGCTTCATCTCCCAGGGGACCTCTGGGAGCAGCAGGTAATATTCTGCTCCATTTCCCATTCCAGGGGAGAGAGCTGGGAGACGTACACACTAATCTTTGGGTCAGGCTGGTCCCAGGTTTTCAATCCTTGGTGCTTCTGGCAGGCCGCAGGCGCAGGCAGGACAAAGCTTCAGGGAGAGCAATGCAGGTGGTGGCAGTAGGAAGTTGGGCATTTTGTGCAGAAGTGATAGGGTAGGAGATCCATGCAAGACACAGCACCTGCTGCGACCCCATGTTAGCGACGAACAGCCGGAGGCTTAGAGAGACCGGGAACCTGCCCAAACTCCAGGGAGTAAGCCGAAGGGCAGAGTTCACTGTCTCCTGGCCCTCTGCCCCTCCTACAACACAGGCTCCCGGCCTCCTGTCCGTGCCTCCCCCACGCTCCTTCCTGCAGCTCTGGCCTCGCTGAGCGCCCCACAGTCCCTGCCGGCTCCAGGCATCTCCTGGCCGGCCGTTTCCTCCCGGTAAGGTGTGCTGGTGAGGCACATGCTCTCCCCGGGAGTCCAGCAGCTTCCAGATGTGGAGAGCTTTTCCTCCAGGAGGTTGCTGCCTCTGCCCCTCTGGCCTAAATCCTCTACTTCGAGTTTGCAGTGAGGATCAGCTTCCCTTCCTCCTCCCCAATTCGACCTCAAGGCGCTGAGACTTCTCTAAACTCTGATAAAGCACCCTCTGGCCCATGCATTGTGTAAGAGCCTCTGCCCTGCAGGCCGAAGTCCTTCTCCCTTCTCAGGGAAGTCTGACTCAGCCCCTCATTCCCAAGGGTTGGGCAGGGGGGAGACAGAAGATGTGGGAAACCACACGTTTCCCAGCCCGACTCACCTATGGGGGAGGATGAGGTGGCAAGAATTGCCATAACCCAAATTTCAGCTCAATTCTGTGCCCTCTGCATACCCCTAGCCTCCAGCCCCCTGCAAAGTCCAAGGGACAGACACCCTCTGCACCCAGAATGGCCCTTTCATCTGATGATCAGAGGCTTGAGAGCTCTTAGTGCTCAGCTCTTTCCAGAAGTTGTTATTAATAATAATCCTATATAATAAAGGCCCAGTAAAAGAAACGGTGGAATGACCAGAATGACCAGAAACCAGAACACTATGGCACCTCGCCCTGGCTGGCCCCACCACCCCCAGGGAGCAGTTAGGGGCAATCAGGCAGGCAGGCAGAGTGGTTAGGGGCAATCAGGCAGGCAGGCAGAGTGGTTAGGGGCAATCAGGCAGGCAGGCGAGCAGTTAGGAGCCAGTGGTCCCAGATTGTGAGAGGAATGTCTGACTGCTGGTTTAGGCCTGATTCGCAGGGATCCCTGCAGGATCGGGCTTAAACCGGCAGTTGGACATCCCCCGAAAGGTCCTGGATTGCAAGAGGGTGCAGGCTGGGCTGAGGAACACCACCCCCCTTCGTGCA